AGGGTGGACAGGTGCTGCTTCGATCCTGCTGCCTCTAATGCCATGGCTGGGCGAGATTCAGCTTGCTATCAGAAAAACGGAGATACTCGATAACATGAACTTCTTACTTTGGAATCAGTCTCATGTATTCTGCCTGAGGGGCGAGGAGACTTCCTGTTACCTTACTGACGTTACATAGTACTTATTGTTAAGAAGTGCGCGGTAAATAGTAGAAATAAAAGAAGGAATAAAACCTTAATGACCTTATTTTGAATCCATGATAAGAGAGTCTTGAAGCTATTTTTGGGGGGGGGGGGGGGGGGGGGGGGATTATCATGCTCCCTGTCCGTTTAACGCCTTCCTATCGCAGGTGGAGTTCTGTCGCTTCAATAACCTAACAGTTTTGAAAAGGGGCGTTAAGCAAACAAAAATATCGTAGTAAGGCTAACGGCCTCATGGCATTTTAGGTTCGGGGTTTCGGGGCTCAGCTCGGTCCGACAGTGTGGCCTTGGGGGAGGCACTTTACACGAAATTTCCAATTTTGGCTTCGTCCTTTCGGAGATGGAATTACAATTCGGAAGTTCCGCCTCTTAAATAACCTTACAGCGTTGCAGGGGGCGTTGAACCCATATGATATATTTGCTCTCTAAAACGCCACGAAGAACAAAAGCAAACACGAAAAGTGTAATCGTTTTTGCCGTTTTTATTCAACCATTACATTTCTTTTCCATTTTAATCTACTGTCGTGAGTGAATCATCAGAATTGACTTTGAAGGTGTTTTCTTCGTCGAATCTGATTATTTACCCCCAACACCTACGTTGTTTTGAAGAGTGTCGAAGTAGATGAAATTGGCTTGACCATTCAGGGTGTTGGCAGACCATCCACCGCTGCTCATGTCAACGGAATCCACCCCAGCCTGGGTGCTCTTCAGGACGTTTTCCACGCCAACGTAGATGCATGGGTAGCCATTGGAGTAGCCGCTGTATGTCCTGACCAGCTCGAAGCCAGTGAGGAGAGACTGGGCGAATTGCGGGGCACCTTGGAAGTCGAAGTTGACGGTAATATACTGCTCGAGTTTGGGATCCATGAGCAGTTCCTCCTCTGCAGACTTCTGGCGGTTCACTGAGTTGATGGCTCTGCGGACGGACAACTTGATCTGACTCAGGGTTTGGCCGTTTTCCGTTGCCTTGTCCCAGACCACGTCGATTCTGTCGCTGATGGCGTTGGCTCTGGTCTGGGCCTGCTCGATCCTGTTCAGGCGTTCAATATCGGCGTTCTGGAGATCGTTGATGTCGTACATGACCTGCTTGCGGGTGGGGTAGATCTCTTCCTGCAGAACATTCCCCAGTGCCGAGGCGTCGCTGATAAGAGACTGCACCTGTTGGCGGAGGGCCTTCAGCTCGGCGATCTTGTATTGCAGCGAGCCAATACGTTGTCCATGGATCTTCTGACGATCAGCAATCTGCCTGCTGAGAGTGTTCTGGAACAGATTTTGGAAGTCACGGTTCTGGTTGGAGACAGCGCTCAAACGTCCCAGACGGCTCAGCTGGGCGCCTTCGCGGGACTCCAGGTTTCCGATGTAACGGTTCAGTCTGTCCAGGAGGGGATCCACCAGCACATTAGCAGGGAGGTAACCGTGCAGATAGTAGCCAGAGCCGCCATCCGAGGACTGGGCGCCCACGAGGGACACGAGAGCCACACTCAAAACGGCGAGACAGAGCATCGTGATGGTTCTGTGAAGGACGAATAAAATTTAATACAAGAAGAGAAAAATAGTTTTAGAAACCTAAAATTAGTTCACTTCAAGATGGTTCATCGTTTTTAAATACTTCACGACTTTTGAAAGGCATAGCAGCTGTCGCCACATATGTTTTATATAATTTGTTCAAATAACATTTGCGCTATGTAATAAGATATCCTTTTTCCAGGTATATTTGATTGAGACAGGCATTTTTGCGACCAACTTTTTTGGTATTTCAA